AACAAAAAACATTTTATGTTATTTTTAATTTGTGTTTTCTGGTAAGAGTTGTTCAGAAGATCAACAATCTGCAGAGATTTATTTTGAGTTTATCCAGGTATACCACCCTTGCACTCCTTAGCAGGTCTTTCAAGCACATGACTGGTCCTGTTACTTCCTGGTTTGGTTAGCTTATTTGCACTGAACTCAAGAGGCAGCAATTGCTCAGAGCACGGGCCTTGCAAAGACTTCTCATTGAGCTGCATTGGAAGTATGTGATTGGATAGCCACAGAAAGTCTGGGCTGGGGAAGAAGGGGAGGGCTTGCAAAGGCTTCAGACAAGAGATCTGCAGCTTTTGCAAACTGTTTTTAGATATATCCTTGGTTAAAAATGCATAATTTAAAGATTGCATGTTTTCATCTTGTGTATATATACTAAACAGTGATTTTTAATTATTTTATAATTGGGCAGTGGCCAGTCCGATGTGCATCTCTGCTAGTACCAGTTCAAACAAGGGTTACATTTTCTGTTCTGCATGAACGTAATAAATTCATCGAATCATCATTCTAAAGTCAATAAAATGAGTACCACTTAAATGGATGATAATAACAGCTATACTTATGGACAAACAGTCTTAATGCATTTTTCTTGTTGAAGCACTTTGATCATTAATTCATGGATAGAGACTTTTCTCTTCGTTTCTAACCTCGCTAGTAACATTTTCTACAATATATCCGGTATGTTAATTATATTGTTCACAAACCCCTGAATAATGTTTAATTTATGAAAAAAATGAGGAGCAGCTGTCATATTCTGCAAGAGATGTAATAATTGGTGCTAATTGCTAGTCTTAAAAAAAAAAAAAAAAAAAAATGTATCACTTGGCAAATCAATGCAGTCCCAGCATCCAGCATTTAGTAGTTTAACAGCTTTGTGATCTTTAAAGGAAAATTGGACACAAAGTGATGTGAAAATTATCTTTAAATAAGTGTGCTGTCTTTGTCTTTAATTATTCTTTTTGATGTGCCCAGTTAAAATATTCTCACATATAATAGAGGTTTTTAAACTAAACTATACCTACATTTAACATCCATTTTATGTTCCGACAAACCTCTTACAGTAATTCCAATAAATCTGTTATATTTCTGCTCATTTGCTGAACAGCCCTCAGTTGGTACTGATTTTATGTTTAACAATGTCCATAGATAATTTAAAAATGGAACAGAAAAACAAAAATCGTGACTATTCCAAGAAAAACATTTCAGTTGGCAATTATGCACTTGTGAGTCAGAACCTTTGTTTGGATAAAGTAACATGACTGGTGTATCGTCGCCATATGGGCACCTGGAACCTTGGACAAACCCCTCACGTATCTACCCCAATAAAACACGGACACTAGTGTATATGGGTAAAATTGTCCACAGCTTTATTAAATATATATAAATAAGACTAACTTAACATAGAAACTTTTGGGTCATTGCCCTATCCCCCGCCCTTACTTCCGTATACTTCCTTTAGGTATAAAAGGCAATGACCCCACTATAAATAACACACATATATATATATATATATATATATGCATATATATATAAAACATTATACCAACATAACATCACTTAAAGTGTCAACCATTTATTATAATTTAACCATTGTAGGGGTATACCCAGATACCCCTACCCCACCAGGTTCTGAGCCACCGACAGGACTCGAAACCTACCAAACATACCAATAACCATTAACTTAACCTTCCTACTGGGGAGCCTATTTCCTCTCCCAGAGCTCCCTATCCCGCCGCTGTGACAAAACAGGAACCCCACTATGGACAAAAACCCAGGGAGGGAGGGTGGGACAAACTCAGCCAGGTAGGCAAGTTAAAAGTGAATTTTCCAAGATGTCTGTCTACTTATATAGCCCAGCCCTAAACACTCCATTAACCAATCCTATTAGCTTCCTCCTATGCCCACCTCCTAACCCCTGTCAAGACCCCTTTCCACTAAGCTGTGCTTTTGTTACAAGGGGCTACACTCCAGCACCATAACTTCATCTAAATGCACTATGCCAATTAGTAGCTCACCATTCATAAAAAAAAAAAGGTACGTATCTAGAGTTGGACCACTATTAGAAGGTAACTTTTTTATAAATGGTGAGCTACTGAGAGTGTCAGTTGACTGCTCTAAGCCAATCGGCATAGCCCATGCCCTAGCCTTCCAATCAAGGATTTCAGATAGCGAAATGACAAGGAGGCAGAGCGATCTGATGCTGTAACGCAGACTTTGTTCACGCTGGTTTAATCCCTAAAGTTGAGCCAGCACCAGGGACCACCTGACACCATAACAACTTAATTAAGAATAACTTAATTGGTCTTTTAAGATCACAAAACTTGGAAGTCAGCTATGTTTTCAGTTTGAATAATTTGGACTGAAATTTTAAAATTTACCCAGAACTACAATAGTTCACACTTCAGTGAATATATCAGAAGATAACACAGATCCTACTGGTATGTAGAAGTTAATGTGACATTATGCAACATAATCACTACATTTCTCTGTAGTCATTTTGGTACCCGGGAGTCCCCAACACATATGATGGTAAACTGTCAAACTGTTTCAGATCAGTTTGAAACTTAATGGCCCCTGTTAGTAATAACAAGAATGTAAGAGCTAATTCTAGGTTGGCGTAGTCTAAGACTTGTATGGGGTAAAGGTTTTGCCTCAAAACAGCTGCAAAAGTTAGTAGATGATATATATATATATATATATATTAGAGAGGTACAAGAGAGAGCATAAGTACAGGGATAACACAACCTGATGTTTTCCAATGACTGAAGGAGTGCAATGGGGATGAGGTGTTACCAGCCATGGTGGGTGCCCCAAAAACAATTTAAGCCGCATAACTGGATGTAGTAAGATGTAGTTAGAAATATTCAGAATTCCAATTTTACTTCACCTAAATATAGGGTTACTCCTTTTTTTTTTTTTTTTTTAAGATACAATGGAGGAAAAAGACATCTCATCCAAAACGATCATAGACTACAACCCCCATCATATCTGCACCCACAATGATGCCTATTTACTCCACTACCATTAAATACACTCTACTGAAAGATCTGCAATATATCTGATATTGGCAGCAAGCATCCTTTGGTTCTGAAACCCAGAGGTTGATGGTAGGCATGATTTATGATAGGCAGGATAACATTCCAAAGTGCATAGACACAGACATCCACAATGACCACACAATCCTGGGATTAGGGAATATAAGCAACTACTTACTTATGTATTGGAAAGTTCTGTTCACTTTAGACACAATCCATATTTTCATGCAATTCGCAGGGCATGCGTTCCAAAAAATGCTAAGCATACAACACCTTTTAAAATACGTGTTTATTCATTTTGTACTTTTTAGTACTTAGCAGAACATGCACTTAAATATGGCTATATCTCTACTCAACTTTAAACCGAAGAATGTATTTATTGAGCAATTAATTGTAAAATAAATTGCAAAAATTAGCCACTAACAGTTGAAAATTCTAAACTCAGCTATAAGTTGGCCATTTTAGATTTTATTTTGTGCAATGCATTTTTCCTTTCACTACCATTTGGTTTTCAGAGCACATTTAAAAAATATTTCATTCAGCACTAGCTATTAAAACAAACATTCTACTTACAATAAAGTGCAGATTAAAATAAATAAATAACAGAAATCTGTTTAAATTAAAGGAAGCCCAGTGTGTTATATACCTCACCAGCATTCACCATTCAGAAAAGCAGTAAGCCGATAGAGATAGACTGGATAGCTTAGGGAATATTCAGAGAATTTCAAAGAAGCTTAAATGCATTTGTCCTGCTTCATTATTTATGTGTTTTATCACCATATATTTAATTTAAAGACAAGGGGGTTTATTAACTAAACAGTGCGTTTTAGTGCCTTGAGAATTGTCAAATTAAATTTAACGAAAAATAAGAGAAATGGTTAAAATGTTGAATTTAATAGGTTTGGAGATGTGATTTAAATTTTGTTATTTTGACCTTAGTTTTCAGAGGGAGCCTCAGCTTTGGACCAAGTAGTCTCATGCAAGACTTTCCCCTCACCAATGATTACTAATGCTTAAAGGGACACTCCGTACACATAAAGCACTTCAGCTTCATGAGGTGCTTAATGTGTCTTGAGCATTGCATGTTAATTGCAGTTTCTGAAAGTCGCATGTTTTATTTAAAATCTTAACTTTTATAAGTAATTGTAAAAACACTTAATTGCGTTAGCTCCTCAGGGAAAACAGGAGTAGCAGGCAGGCTCTGCTAGTATTCCACAGGGCTTATTTGACCCTAGTGTGTCCCTGCATCTGAAAAACTGAAACGGAAAGTCTGAGCTGGGGAAAAAGAAGACAGCTTGGAAAGGCTGCAGACAAGAGATCTGCAGCTTTTCAAAGCAGAATTCAGATATACATAAATGAACGCATGCATGTTTTAATTAGGGTTATACCTACAAATAGTGTTTTGTTTATTAAATTTGCCCATGGAGTGTTCTTTTAAACGGGTGCACAAATCAGCACACTGAAAGACAGCCAAGTGAAGTGTTTTAAAGCCTAGCTGGTTAACCCTCAGTATGTCAATCTATGCATCTTCATTAGCAGTTCAACCTGCATCATCGTGAGGGAGCAGTGTCAGTCAGAGCTCCCTCGTGGAGTTGTGTGTGAGGCCCAGTTTACTGAAGGAGTGAGCAGATATAATGTTATAACTCCACCTTCTCACTCTCTGACACTGCCTCACACATATCAGAGATAGGCCTCGGGAGCTCAGGAGTTGCACCGGTAGACCGCAGGATATGGGGAAAGGTGGGATTTGGAGACAGAGAGTGAGAGAGTAAAGAAGGGGATTATTAAGGTGATTCTTATGATTGTTTCGGTTATGTGGACAGGTAATAAAGGGAATTATTGTGGCTATGCAGATGTGCCAACATAAATAACGGTACTAAGATTATAGAATGAGGTAATGTAAAGGAAGGTGGGGATAATGGTCTTATGGAATGTGGAAATGTGACTGAAACTCAAGATAATGTGATTATGGAATTTGGTAATGTGGGAGTAGATGAGGATAATGTGATTATGGAATTTGGTAATGTGTTAGTAGATGAGGATAATGGGTTTATGGAATTTGGTAATGTGGGAGTAGATGAGGTTAATGGGTTTATGGAATGTGGCAATGTGGCAGTAGATGAGGATAAAGTGATTATGGAATTTGGTAATGTGGCAGTAGATGAGGATAATGTGATTATGGAATTTGGTAATGTGGGAGTAGATGAGGATAATGTGATTATGGAATTTGGTAATGTGTTAGTAGATGAGGATAATGGGTTTATGGAATTTGGTAATGTGGGAGTAGATGAGGTTAATGGGTTTATGGAATGTGGCAATGTGGCAGTAGATGAGGATAAAGTGATTATGGAATTTGGTAATGTGGCAGTAGATGAGAATAATGTGATTATGGAATTTGGTAATGTGGCAGTAGATGAGGATAATGTGATTATGGAATTTGGTAATGTGGCAGTAGATGAGGTTAATGTGATTATAGAATTTGGTAATGTGGCAGTAGATGAGGATAAAGTGATTATGGAATTTGGTAATGCGGCAGTAGATGAGGTTAATGGGTTTATGGAATGTGGCAATGTGACAGGATCTGTGGATAAAGTGATTATGGAATTTGGTAATGCGGCAGTAGATGAGGATAATGGGTTTATGGAATGTGGTGATGTGACAGTTGATGGTGATAATGGGATTATAGAATAAGATGATGTAACCGGAGCTAGAGTTAATAAGATTATGGAATGAGTTAATGTGCCTGGAGCTTGGATAGTAGGATTATAGGAAGTGAGCAATGTAAGGTCAAGGGATATTGAAATACACAAAATAGGTAAACGGGCCAAGGTCAAATAATACAGACACCAGAAAGACTGAGAAACAGAGCAAAGTCAGAATCCAGAAAACCAAAAAATCAGAAGTAAATGTTCAGAAGCAATGGACAAAGTGCGTAATGGTCCTAAATAGCCCAGTTATAATTTAACATATTAATCTATTGGATGGTGTCCAACAGATTAATATTGATGTTGTCAGCTCCAAGAAAATGACTCAAGTCAATATGGGTTGTAAGGACCCACTGGAGTGGACAGGTCCATGTCAGAAAGAACACCAGAATGATGCAAAGAATTGGGTGTTAGGATGGGATTAGGTGGTTGAAGGTGCATAATCATGACTGCTGAGTAGAGAGTGATGAAGGTATTAAGGAACTGGGGAATTTGATTGTCTGGGACAAGGTTTGATTACAGAGTTTCGCTTAACTCTAGAGGCAGGGACACAAGTGTATCAGTACACTCAATTTAGTACTTTAAATTTAACGATCCATACAAGTGAGAAATATTTCAATCCTATGGTTTTACTCATTTTAAAATGTACATATTTTTCATTTAAATTGTTTACTGTATTTGATTGCAGGACAGGGTCATTGTGTGCCCTCAGGGAAGTGAGTAACGTAAAGGTCTGTGCTGACTACTTATTACCTTATATCCCTAAATCTAGAGCTGCCTCGGCTGATTTTCCAAGTTGTTTCTTAAATGTTTACAACTTGCAGTTTAGTGAATGGATCTCACTGTGTTAATTGTCTAATACCTTTCAGCTTTTGCAAGTTTCTTTTCGATCATTCTTGTACTCCCAATCTCTTCTCTGTCTCATGGACTTGAATTGCACAACAACAAATAGTTGATGAAATCAATAACACGTTTAAAGCATTTAAATTAATTTAGTTACCAGGTCAGTTTAAAATCAATAAGATATTCCTGTTATGAAACAAAGCAAAAGGAATTCTCAAAATAATTGGTGTGTCAGAGCTCTCAAGGCTGCTAACTAGGAGCCTCTGGTATACTTAATATGTACCTGTCATGGTACAGGATACTTTATCTTGGATGAAAGACAATTCAGCAATACACTAAGCTAGCAGTAAAAAAAATAAAAAATATGGCCACTTCCTCATCTGTCCCTGGACCTCTATGCTCACAACTGATTGACAGGGAGGGCAGGAGAACAAATGATTCTCCTGCTCCCTATCATAGATGGCTCTAGCTCTAGCAGCCATGGCTGTGCATGCTAGAGATTTAAAGGAACAGAGTGACAAATGTCTGGGGCTGATGTTGTGGCAACAAGGCCAGAATGCTGACGTCACAGGGCAGGAGAGTCGATCGAGTGGGCAAGGGTTGGAAGGTGAGATGGACAAGGATACCTCTTTCATGGTGGTGTTAGCACTCAAGAGAGAAGGTGAGTATTAAATTTACAGCTTCTAAACAAAATAAATATGTAGCTTATCTTTATGATAAAATACTGTATATATGTATATATGTATATTGCTTTAGGAGCTATAAACACTTAGGGTGAACCTCTAACGAAAGATTAATTTTCAAAAACTCATGTTAGTTTCAAAGTACATAAACAACTACAGAAAGTTCATAGTATCGGTATAACGTCAGCATACTGATACAGACATAAACAATATTTAAAATATTTATGCATTAACTAGTAAATTGCATATGACAATGTGTTGAAATAACACCTGGCTGATAGTGCTACTCCTGCCTCTTTATGTTTTGGTGGGCTACAATTCTCTCACACTCCCAGGCTCAACTGCAAAGGAGACGGCGTAGGCATCCTTCTCTCCCCTCAATGTACCTTTCAACCAATCATAACTTCCCCTGCCCTTTCCTTTTCTTCTTTTGAAGTTCACACTGTCCACCTATTTAAACCCACTCCTTTAAGAATTGCTATCATCTACCACCCCCCTGGTTATCCTAGACTATTCATTGAGCACTTTTCTTCCTGACTTCCCCACTTCCTCTCATCTAGCACTCCTTCCCTTATACTTGGGGATTTCAATATCCTAATCAATAACCCCAATTCCACTGATGCCTCTCGTCTGCTCTCTGTAACCACCTCCTTTGGCCTTACGCAATGGTCTAATCTAGCAACCCATACAGCAGGAAACACTCTTGATCTTGCCTTTACCAACCTTTGTACTGCCTCTAATCTCTCCAATATTCCTTTTCCTCTATCTGACCACCATCTGATGACTTTTGACATTGGCATACTTAAGACCCAATTGACACCACCGTCTGAACATCACTCTCACAGAAACCTCCAATGTCTTGACCTAGAGCATTTCTCCACTAATCTCCAAACTCTCCTTTTATCTATCTCAAACCTCACCTGCCCTAGTTCTGCAACCTCCTTCTACAATTTCACCCTCTCCTCTCAACTAGACATCATGGCACTTTGTACATTTAAACGCCACAGGCCCCCCCAACAACAACCCTGGCACACCAAGCTCACTCGATACCTCCATAAATGCTCCAGAACTGATGAACGCTGTTGGAGAAAGTCTCACTGTGCGTATGACTTTCTCCACTATAAATTTATGCTGAGCTCATACAGCTTGGCTCTTTCCTCTGCAAAAGTTAATTACTTCAATACCCTCATAACCACACTCTCCCCCCTGCTGTTCCTCCTCCACCTACTAACTTGACCGCCTCAGACTTTGCAACTCACTTAACTGACAAGATCTCTACAATCAGAGAAGAGATCTCTCATCTTTCTTCATCCCCTTACAATACTTCCCCTAACTTCACTCCCTCTGCTGTTCTATGTTCATTCGCACCCGCTACATTGGAAGAGGTTTCTGCTCTGCTCCAGTCCTCCCGCCCCACCACCTGCTCCCTAGATCCAAAGTCCCTCGCATCTCATCCGTACTCTGTCTTCTTCTCTTTCTCCACCTCTCACTAAAATTCTCAATCTCTCTCCTCTGGTATATTTCCATTGCCCTTCAAACATGCAACTGTAACCCCAATTCTAAAGAAGCCCAATCTTGACCCTAACTCCCCATCCAACTATCGTCCTATCTCGCTACTGCCTTTTGCATCCAAGATCCTTGAAAAAATTGTGTATGCGAGATTGACAGACTTCCTCGAGTCCAACTTTCTGCTAGACCTGCTTCAGTCTGGTTTCCACGCTAAGCACTCAGTGGAAACGGCACTGACCAAAGTATCCAATGATCTACTCGCTGCAAAATCTCGTGGTCACTACTCGATCCTAATTCTCCTTGACCTGTCTGCAGCTTTTGACACTGTTGATCATCAACAGCTTCTTCTCATCCTCCACAATATCGGTCTACAAGATATTGCTCTCTCCTGGTGCTCCTCCTACCTCTCCCAGTGCTCTTTCAGTGTTTCTTTCTCTGGCTCTGCTTCTCTGTTGGTGTCCACCAAGGTTCAGTCCTTGGTCCTTTACTGTTCTCCATCTATACTGCCTCCCTTGGTAAACTCTTTGGCTTCCAATATCATTTCTATGCAGATGACACACAAATCTACCTGTCCTCTCCTGATCTCTCCCCGTCCCTCTTGACTAGTGTCTCTGATTGCCTCTCTGCTGTTTCTAACTGCATGGCTGCCCACTTCCTAAAACTAAACTTGACCAAAACTGAAATTCTGGTCTTTCCTCCCTCAAGTGTTGTTACTCCTGTGTCTGTCTCCCTCCAAGTCAACGGTGCTACCATCAGCTCCACCACGCATGCTCACTGCCTAGGTATTCTCTTTGACTCTGACCTCTCCTTCAAGCCTCATGTTCAATCTATTGCCAAATTCTGTCATTTCCATCTCAAAAACATTGCGCGCATCCGCCCTTACTTAACGCCAGATGCGACTAAGGTGTTGGTCCATTCCACTTTCCTTTCTCGCCTTGACTACTGTAATCCGCTTCTCAGTGGTCTTACGTGCTCCCAACTAGCGCCGTTACAGTCCATAATGAATGCGGCTCATCTTCCTGTCCACCCGCACCTCCCATGCCTCACCCTTCTGTCAGTCCCTACATTGGCTTCCTATAAAATATAGAGCTCAATTTCAAATTCTGGTTCTTGCTTTCAAATCTCTACATAATGCTGCTCCCACCTATCTATCCTCTCTTATACACAAGTATGTCCCGTCTAGGCCCTTACGATCTGCTGAAGACTTACGCCTATCTTCTGTCCGTACTCCCACCTCTGATGCTCGCCTTCAAGATTTCTTGAGGGCTGCACCGTTCCTGTGGAACTCGCTTCCCTCCTTCGTTAGATGCTCACCCAGTCTCCACTCCTTCAAAAAATCGTTAAAACCCACTTCTTCATAAAAGCGTATCAATTAAACTGTTATTAGCTCCTGACTGATTCCTCTTCTGCAACTGTCATTAGTCTAATACTATCCTTACCTTTTTGTGTCATTTTACCCCACTCCCTCTAGCATGTAAGCTCATTGAGCAGGGCCCTCAACCCCTGTGTTCCTGTGTGCCCAACTTGTCTAGTTACAACTAAATGTCTGTTCGTCCACCCATTGTAAAGCGCTGCGGAATTTGATGGCGCTCTATAAATATCATAATGATAATAATAATACCAATTCGGTAGACATTTAATCTATTTTAATCTAATCCTGGTAAAAATACTCACGTGCAAAGATTTAAAAATATCCTACTCCACCAAGATGGCTGCCACAAACAGATGGAATGACTTCGTCTTTTTTTTATTCCCTTCCCCTTATTGTATATACTTTTGGGGGTGTTTTCCCCATATTTCTTTTTTTTTCTCCATTCAATTAAAAAAAATGTTTTATCATTCTTTATTTGGACAGTATATATTATATTTGGACATATTTTTTTAATCTCTGGTGTTTGTAGACAATACGCTTTGCAAGTTCTACAAATAGAAGCAATCTATGGCTACAGTT